AAAAAAAAAAAAAAGGTGGGATTAGTTTTGATTACTGCAGAGTGTCCCCATGATTCTGAGAACACTCTTATTATATACACTTTATACCTCTCCTAGCCTGGGGCCAATATCCAGCTAATGCTTTGTGAGCACAAAGTCATATGTAGAATTGAGGTGTGATTATTTCCCTTTGCTGTTTGAGAATATCCTCTAATATGAAGACAAAACAGGTGTGTTTACACTTTGACTAATAACTTAGAAGACATAAACGATAGAAGGATAGGATATAGAAACAAGGGGGTCGGCTCTGTGTGTGAATCCTCAATTTTGGTTTAACAGTGGCTATTTCCAAACTGTTGTTACTAAGAAATCTGGATTGTTTTACTTGAATGAGTGAGTTGTGACAGTAGGGCACCTGGAAGCTGAGAACTGACAGGCAGAAAAGAAAACAACAGAAGTAGTGTCATAGGGATTGGCCACTTAGCATTAAGTCCGTCAGGAATTAGCTAGTGATTTTGTGATTGGGGCTGTTGAGGGAAAGTGGTCTGGCTATTTTTTTTTTAATGTTTTATTTTTGAGAGTGAGAGAGAGTCTGAGCAGGGGAGGGGCAGAGAGAGAGAAGGAAACAGAATCCAAAGCAGGCTCCAGGTTTGAGCTGTCAGCACAGAGTCTGACGCAGGGGCTCGAACCCATGAACGGTGAGATCAAAACCTGAGTGGAAGTTGGACCTTTAACTGACTGAACCACCCAGGTGCCCTGAGGCTGGCTTTTCACTTTTACTACTCCACAGCAGTAGGAAAACACTGTATGTAGTCCTTCTGGAGGGGCTAGTGGGAAGAATTATAAGAACTGCTTGGAGAATGGGAGGGCCAGAGGGTGTTCCCAGCATATGTCCTTTCTCCATAAGGCACCGAGTTCTCTGTCCCTCCCCATCTGGAGTGTATAGGTATAGTTCTGAGGCCTCCAGATCCTTCAGTCCTTGTGCCTTGTAGCTTTTTAGAAAAAGGCCAAGCAGGTTAGCTGACAGGGAATCATGACTCCTGTTGGGATAGTTTTCCCTTAATCCTTACTTCTCAGATGTATGTCCCGGGGAAGCTACATGATGTGGAACATGTCCTCATCGATGTGGGAACAGGCTACTATGTAGAAAAGGTGAGTGGAAGTAACCACGTGGATGCCTCTCTGAGCAGGGAAAGGAAGTTTAGGGGACGAGCTAGAGTGCAGCATGGGGTCCCCTCTTAGCCCTTCATTTACCTCTGGCCTTGCAGACAGCTGAGGATGCCAAGGACTTTTTCAAGAGGAAGATAGACTTCCTCACCAAGCAAATGGAGAAAATCCAGCCAGCTCTGCAGGAGAAGCATGCCATGAAACAGGGTAAGGTTGGCCTGGAGCACCTCTTCACTCTTTCTACCTCCATGATAAAGAACGTGGATTCCAGTGTGAACTGGGGGCATCCCCTTTGCTAGACTAAAGCCATGTCTTTCTGTTGGATGTCTAGATGTGTTATTGTCTAGATTCTGTGCATTAAAGATTCACTATTTGTGGATTCCTGGGTTGGGTGCTTGAGAATTTTAGAAGAAGGAAATTATATCTTTGTTCTTGAAGAGTTCCTATCTAATGGGATGGAATGGGGGAAATGATATGTGTAAATGAACACACAGGAAAGAAATACAGCCCTAACTAAGGACTAGCCGTTGCAACCCTGGTTACACATTAGAATCACCCAGGAAGTTTAAAAAGGAAGCCCGAGTCCGATCCAAACCAATTAAATCAACCTGAGGGTGGGGGAGTTCTGGGGGTCAGTGTTTGTTTAAAAGCTCCCCAGGTAATTCCATTACACAGAATTGAGAAGCACTGTTCTAAAGGCAAAACTCGTCCACAGTATAATTTTCTGGTTATGTTTGAATCATTTAGGACTGTATTTTGTTCATTTTTATGTCCCAGTGGTTATCATATTTAGACACATTGTAGACTCTAAATTTGTGTGTGTCCCCCAGTGAATCACTGTGTTAAAAGTTTTATTAACTGTACTTGGTTGTCCACCTGTCCTTAATTTTTTTCTCACTTCCTGAACTCTGGGTTCTCCCCTCTAACTCCAGACCAGGGTCTGAACGCTTCTTTTTTTCCACAGCTGTCATGGAGATGATGAGCCAGAAGATTCAGCAGCTCACAGCCCTGGGGGCAACTCAGGCTACTGCCAAGGCCTGAGAGCTTGTATCAGAAATGGGACAGAGGGACCCTGCTTCAAGGAGCCTGGGACTTTGTGGGCGTGGCTTCCTGGGGTCAAGGAAGGGAAGGGTCTTATTCATGCTAATAAATGTGCCAGCTGGGCAGAATGTTGGTCTTTTCTTGCATTAAGCAAAGGACTGGTGGTGAGACCAGAGGGCGGTAGTCCAGACGCTGTGCACCTCCCTAGAGCCTGCTCTGTAGGGATGGGGCGGTGCTTATCTCGGAGGCTCCACCCTGAGCCTCTCGGGAAGTTGGGGAGAAGTGCCGAGCGGACCTGGTCTTTGCGGACGGTTGCCATGGGAACCGTCCAGCGGAAATGGAACTGAGCGGGCTCTTCCTCTTCCGGGTCGGCGACCCGCCTCCCCACGGGGGGAGGCTGCATGGGCCATCGCTCCCTGCGTGGTCTTCTGCCTCTGCTGCTGCTGCTGCGGCGGCCACCCTCCCGGGCCGGGCCCCGGACGCTCAGCCTGGAGTCCGTCCCGCCGTCCAAGCGACCCCGCGGCAGCCGCATGGCACCGCCCCGGATCGGGACGCACAACGGCACTTTCCACTGCGATGAGGCCCTGGCGTGCGCCTTGCTGCGCCTCCTGCCCGAGTACCGGGTACGGTCGGCCGAACGTGCCTCCGGGGCGGGCCGCGCCCGTGCGCCCCTCCTCCCTCGCGACCCCGGCCGCCCCCTCACCTCCTGTGTTCCCTGCAGGACGCAGAGATCGTGCGGACCCGGGACCCCGAAAAACTGGCCGCCTGTGACATCGTGGTAGACGTGGGTGGCGAGTACGACCCGCAGAGACACCGATATGACCATCACCAGAGGTGAGCTCCCAGATACCATTTCTTGAACTCCTTTGACTTCGGCTCTCCTCCGCTCCGAGGCAGCCGTCCGCCGCGGTGGTCTGGCCCGCGTCAGCGAAGGGGACCGCCTCATCCTTGAAAGCCAACCCCCGAGTCCCGCGGGACGGCAGCCCGCCAGCCCTCCGCCCGCTCTGCACCCGTCCATCCTGCTTCGGGCCTCCCCTGGCTCCCGGGCCGGCCTCTGGCCCCTCGCGACCGGCCGCCTTCCTCCGCTCAGCCAGGCTTTCCTCCCACTGGCGCCGTCCTCGCCCCCGTCAGCACCCCAGCCCAGGGTCGTCCTTTCACGTGTCCGTGCCTCTTCAGACAGCTGGGCCCACGCGGTGGCGGTGGTTGGTGGCCGCTCAGACGTGTGTGGTCTTCCGCTTCGTTTATACTCTTCCACTGGGAAGTCTTTCTTTTCCG